GAGGAGAAGTGGTGACCAGTGGATGTCTAATATTTGCCATAGATCGATTACATACCTACAGATGACACCATGCAAGACGGACGCCAACACACGATAATGCGTGAGTTGATTTTTACCCACCAAGTTACTATGACCCAGTCAGGCGGCCGAGCTCAGGCCACTCAACACATGGAGTTCACTTGAAGATACTAGGCTCGGAATCAATAAATGTTATTGGATTGGGTAAGCTGAACTCCAGAGTCTGAGAACCAAATTTTGCCACGACCTACGTACGGTATAACACGCTTGGTCAAAACAATCTAGACAGAAGACTCGCAGCATCTGGGTACCCGGCTGAACATGCAAGTATCAGGTTTGGTTTTTTGAATTTTTGCTAACATGCACTGCAGGGCCTCTGTCACCGTGCAGTCTAATGAGATTGCTAAAGCCAGCTTACATGTCGCCCTTCCGTGGTACACGCATTTGTACACCATTCCATTCCTCTCGCTCTATCCGCTTCTCGCGTATGCATATTATATCAAGTATGATGACTGGTTGAAAAGCGAGGAGTGGACTTTTCTGGCTTGTGTATCTCTGGGCGCAGGTCATGCTTTAAGTTTCCTGGTCACTCGTTGGAGTGCTAGCGCGAAAGCATGGATAACAACGCGAAAGGTGTGCATTTATGTTTGAAGATTTAGATAACATCCTCATATATTCTAAAGGTGCGGTCTATCGAGGATGCAGACTGTATACGCTTGGTTCCTCACGTCCATCGTGGTCAAGGCGACATTGTCCCATTGCTCAAGGGTGTTCCATCAGAGCCAATGTCCTACACGTTCAACTACCAGCGAGATACTTACGTTGTAGCCAGCAAGAATCCCGTCGTATTTACTCGCCTCCCGTACCCATCCACCCAGCGCCCACCACTGTCTACCTTTTTACACCCTACTGGCCTTAATCTGGATACAATTCCACCCTTGAAGTCGCTATATGGCAAAAACGAATTCAACATTCCGATCCCCTCCTTCTCGGAGCTTTTCGCTGAACATGCGACGGCCCCCTTCTTCGTTTTCCAAATATTTTGTGTCGCACTCTGGTGCCTGGATGAGTATTGGTACTACAGCTTATTCACGCTATTCATGCTCATCATGTTCGAGTGTACTGTTGTCTGGCAGGCGCGTTTTCCCCTTTCCTATTAACAACTCCGAAGCTAACTTCACTTGTAGCGTTTGAAAACTCTGACAGAATTCCGTACGATGGCTGTCGCTCCGTATCCCATGCAATGCTATCGGCATTCACAATGGATTACTATACAGTCAGACGAGCTTCTCCCTGGAGACCTTGTTTCTGTTGGTTAGTGTCATTTATCCGTTCGCGATATTACTTCACTGACGTATCATCACAGCACGACAGCAGTTTGAAACAGTAGTTCCTGCTGATATTCTTCTCGTCCAAGGCACATGTATCGTCAACGAAGCTATGTTGTCGGGAGAATCTACGCCGCTACTTAAGGAATCCATACAGCTTCTCGATAGCAGGGACAAACTTGACGTCGACAGCGCGCACAAGAACGCAGTCCTGTTCAGTGGAACGAAGGTGCTCCAAGCAAGCCCAACGGGTACGTTGAACACTTACAGTTTACTTCAATGTTGTCATTCGGCTCTCAGGTCAAGGACAAGTCACTGCAGCAACTCCGGACGGTGGATGCCTAGGTCTTGTTTTGAGAACCGGTTTTGGCACAGCCCAGGGGCAACTTGTAAGGACGATGATATTCTCAACTGAACGCGTATCTGCGAATAATCTCGAATCGTTCCTATTTATCGGATTCTTGCTTATCTTCGCGATCGCCGCAAGTTGGTATGTTTGGGTAAAGGGTACGTGTCATATCTTGTGTACCGGCCACTAATCACGAGTATGCTTAGGCATCGAGCGCGATCTGAAAAAGTCCAAGCTCTTGCTTGACTGTGTACTTATCATTACGAGTGTCGTCCCCCCAGAATTGCCTATGGAGCTTTCTTTGGCCGTGAATGCATCCTTGGTTGCTCTATCAAAATTCGGTAAATCAAATTTCATTTTCCATAGTACTCTATCTTACTATTTTCATCAGCCATATTCTGCACCGAGCCATTCCGTATCCCGTCCGCTGGTCGCGTTGATATTTGTTGCTTCGACAAAACGGGAACTATTACTGCAGAGAACTTGGTCCTAGAGGGTGTTGTTGGCATAGAGTTAGTATTCCATATCTAATCGACATCTCCCCTCTAATATTCACACAATTCTAGCGGGTCGGACAAACTGAAGCTCGTGGACGTCAAGGACACTGCCAAGTATACCACTCTCTGTTTGGCTGCTGCACATGCACTTGTTCGTCTCGATGATGGCACGGTTGTTGGAGACCCAATGGAGAAGACGACGTTAGAAGCTCTTGACTGGCAGATTATGAGCGGCGACCAAGTAGCGCCATCTTCCGCCAAGTCGCCCAGTGCATCGAGGGTTTTTATTCGGCGCCGTTTCCAGTTTTCGTCGGCTCTCAAGCGCATGTCCACCGTGTCGAGCTTGCCCAGCGGCAAGGTCCTCGTCTCCGTTAAAGGTGCACCGGAAACGATCAAAGGCATGCTCGCAGAAGTTCCCGAATGGTACGATGCGACATACAAGTGGTATACTAGGCGTGGCAGTCGTGTTTTGGCATTGGGAACGAAGGAGATCGGCACCATATCGATCGACAAGGTTAGTCATAGTCTGGTAACTGCATCCGCGTTATTAACGGTTAACGGTTGCTGTAGATCAATAAACTATCCCGCGAGGATGTTGAGAGCAGCCTTATGTTTGCAGGATTTTTAGTCTTCCATTGTCCTCTCAAGCCAGATGCTATTGAAACACTCAAGATGCTTGCCGACTCGTCACACAGGGTAAGCCGTCGGTCCGCTATGGAACTTTACTTATCGCAAAATAGTGCATTATGATCACTGGCGACAACCCATTGACGGCAGTCCATGTCGCGCGTGATGTCGAGATCGTCGATCGTGACGCGCTGATTCTGGATTTGCGAGAGAACCCCAAAGATGAAGCAGGTGAGTTGATTACCATTGCAGCCAGTACGCGCAGTAACATTTGTCATAGATTTGGTCTGGCGCACTGTGGATGAAACTAAGATTATTCCAGTGGATCCGTCTCAGCCTTTGGACCAACGCCTCTTCGACGAGTACGATATCTGTGTTACCGGTGCTGCCATGAAGCAGTTCGAATCTCGCCCTTCATGGAATGACCTGGTACAAAACACCTGGGTTTATGCTCGTGTCTCGCCTACGCAGAAGGAATTTATCCTTACCAGTCTTAAGATGCTTGGCTACACTACGCTCATGGCTGGAGATGGCACCAATGACGTCGGTGCACTCAAGCAGGCTCATATCGGCGTAGCTCTTCTAGATGGCACACCCGAGGACCTCCAGAAAATAGCGGAACATCAGAAGGTCGAGCGGATTAAGAAAGTTTACGAGAGCCAGCTGAAGATGTCGGCGAGGTTTGGACAGGTGCCACCGCCTGTACCTCCTGCCATCGCGCATCTCTACCCAGATGTTGTTGAGGCGCAGAAAAAAGCTGCAGAGAATTTACAAGTCGCGCGTAAAAAGAATCCGATGGAGAAGGTAGGGTCTGTAGTCTTTGTGAGGGTTGGCTGGCTGACGATATTTCAGTTCGACCTTGCTTCGATTACTGACGCTATGGCCGACATGGAAGGCGATGAGGATGTTCCTCAGATCAAACTTGGAGACGCTTCATGCGCCGCACCATTCACATCGAAGCTGTCCCACGTCGCTGCCAGTGAGTTTGCATAACGCTTACTACCGAGAGTGCCTACTAAACTTAGGAATAGTTACACACATTATCAGGCAAGGTCGCTGTACCTTAGTCGCTACTATTCAGATGTACAAGATTTTGGCTCTGAATTGCCTTATCACCGCGTACAGCTTGTCGGTTCAGTATCTTGATGGTATCAAGTTTGGTGATTATCAGGTAACCGTTAGCGGGATGTTGATGTCCGTTTGTTTTCTCTGCATATCTCGGGCTAAGGTGCGTTCTTGCTTGTCTTTTTTTTTGGCCGTACTGAGTGTTCGACAACAGCCGGTTGAAAAACTTTCCCGGGAGAGGCCGCTAGGCAACATCTTCAATCTTTATGTGCTATTATCCGTGCTGCTCCAGTTTGCCCTCCACATTATATCGCTCGTTTACATTACGAACTTGTCGCATATGCTTGAGCCGTAAGTCTCGATCTAATTTCATTCCGAAAATATACTGAGTCCTGTACAGAGCTGGTGTGATCGACCTCGAGGCGAAGTTCGAGCCCAGTCTCTTGAACACCGCCATCTACCTTCTGGGTCTCTCTCAGCAGGTCTCGACATTTACTATCAACTTCCAGGTAATTTATTTCGCCGAGGACGTTGGATTTGATCCATTGACGGGATGTCTTATAGGGTCGCCCTTTCCGTGAGGGAATCCGCGAGAACTCGAGCTTGTACTGGGGGCTTGTCGGCGCTAGTGCTGTTGCATTCTCTGGAGCTACAGACTTCATGCCCGAGTTGAACCGATGGCTACAGATTGTCGAGATGGAGGGACTGGTGCGTCACTTTCCTGATTTTTAGCATGAAATCTTATGGTTGTTCTCTCATCTGTCTAGTTCAAGGTGAAGTTAACCAGCGTCATGATCGCCGACTTTGTTGGTTGTTGGGTAATTGAGAAGCTCTGCAAACGCCTGTTTGCAGATCTCGAGCCAAAACCGTTAGTCACTCGGGGTAGGGAAAGGAGAGAGGCGAGACGAAGGGAAGAGGCTAGACTAGCAGATGAGGCAGCCACAGAGAAGAAAGCTCAGTAAAGACGCTGCATACATGTAGCTAGATATCTTCCCTACGCAAAGCTTTCAAGATCATAATACTATCATAGACTTTTCGAAGTGAAATCGGGTGACTTTAAGCTCCGCCTGAAAGACATCCCAATTGGTGCAGATAGATTATACTTTGGAGTGACGTTGCAAGTACTCGTGTTCAGGTCAACTCACAAGCAAAACAGTCGCGTCCTTGTAACTTTATTCGAACTCGTACGGTGGTGCCGAGATGCTCAATTTTGAAGATGTCGAAGAGCGGGATGGTTTGTTTCATTGATATCTTGCTTTAATCCAGTTTATATTTGACTTTTGGTTTCAGGTGTTCGTCTTTCGTGGAATGTATGGCCCTCGTCTCGGATAGAGGCAACGCGGACTGTGGTCCCGATATCAGCGCTTTATACTCCATTGAAGCAACGAGAGGATCTTCCTCCAGTATTATACGAACCCGTGACGTGTAAACCCCCTTGTCGTGCTATTCTCAATCCGTATTGGTATGTCTCTTCTCTTCCTTACTCAAATTATACTAATGATGCGCCATGCAGTCAAATCGATATCAGAGGCAAACTATGGATTTGTCCGTTTTGCTTGACCCGCAATCCTTTCCCGCCACATTATAAAGATATCTCTAACACCAATCTACCCGCCGAACTACTTCCAAAGTACACGACGATTGAGTACACGCTATCTCGTCCCGCTCAGGCTCCACCCGTCTTTCCTCTTTGTCGTCGATACCTGTCTAGATGCCGAAGACCTCAAAGCACTCCGTGACGCCCTTGTTGTCAGTCTCAGTTTGATCCCACCATATGCATTAGTTGGTCTCATTACGTTCGGCACAATGGTACGTACACTTATTTGTTTTTTCATCGTTCAAGCTCAATGCTTCGACTACCAGACACAAGTTCATGAATTGGGCTACGCAGAGTGCAGCAAATCATACGTCTTCCGTGGCGGCAAGGAGTACACGCAGAAACAGATTCAGGATATGCTCGGACTCAGTACAACAACTCGCGCTGCACCCCGCGCTGGCCAACCCATGCCCCAACAAGCTTTTGGAGCAGCCCGTTTCTTGCTTCCTGTTCAGCAATGCGAATTCCAACTCACTGGCATTTTGGAGGCACTCGCTCGTGACCCTTGGCCTGTTGCCAATGACAAGCGCGCTTTGCGTTGCACTGGTGTGGCCGTCAGTGTAGCCGTTGGACTCTTGGAGGTGCGTATATTGATTGTGGTGAGAAGAGTGTACGGGTGATAACATATCTCAGACGACTTTCCCTAACACGGGTGCACGTATAATGGTTTTTTGCGGGTGGACCTGCAACGGAGGGTCCAGGCATGGTTGTCAGCAATGAACTCAAGGAGCCTATCCGCTCTCATCACGACATCGAACGGGACAGCGTCAAGCACTACAAACGTGCAGTAAAGGTTTGTCCTAGATCAGTGAGACAATGGCGATGGCATCATAGTTCGCTTTGTTTTAGTTCTATGAAGGTCTGGCGAAGAGAGCATCCAACAATGGCCACGCTGTCGATCTGTTTGCTGGTTGCTTGGATCAAGTGGGCTTGCTAGAGATGAAGTCATTGCCAAACTCGACGAACGGTGTCATTGTCCTATCCGATTCGTTTGCTACGTCGATCTTCAAGCAAAGCTTCTTGCGTATGTTCAATAAGGACGACCAGGACTTCTTGCAGATGGGTTTCAACGCGACGTTCGACGTACAGGCAAGTCGCCTCGCATACTCTACATGACGTTTTGACTTCAATTTATTTAGACAACGAAAGAACTGAAGGTTTCTGGCCTTATCGGACATGCAATCTCCGCCGGGAAGAAATCTGCATGCGTTGGCGAGACGGAAATTGGTATTGGTCAGACGTCAGCCTGGCGAATCAACTCCATTACTCCTAGGACATCTGCTGCCATTTACTTCGAGGTCGTTACTCCTGCGGGCCAGGCATTGTCTCCGGGATCAAGGGGTCTCATTCAATTCGTCACTCATTATCAGCACTCGTCTGGGCAGATGCGTTTGCGTGTCACCACGATAGCTCGAAATTTTGCAGAAGCGAACTCTCCTAGCATCGCTTCTTCCTTCGACCAAGAAGCCGCTGCCGTACTTATGGCAAGGATAGCAGTCTTCAAGGCTGAAATAGACGACTCACCAGACGTTTTACGTTGGCTCGACCGCATGCTCATCCGTCTCTGCCAGAAGTTCGCAGATTACAGAAAGGAGGACCCTGTCAGCTTTAGACTGACGGATAATTTCAGTATCTATCCACAGTTCATGTTCCATCTCCGGAGAAGTCAGTTCTTACAGGTGTTCAACAACAGTCCCGATGAGACTGCATTCTACAGGTCTGTACCTCTGCTGTGCGGTGCAATATTTGGATGTTAAAAGGTCACATGAACAGACATATTCTCAACGAAGAAGACGTCAACAACTCGTTGATCATGATCCAACCTACGCTGATGTCATACACATTCGATGTCGAGCCCCAGCCTGTCTTGCTCGACAGCGTCTCTATCAAACCCGATGCCATCCTCCTTCTCGACACCTTCTTCCATATTCTTATTTTCCACGGTGAAACGGTGGCCCAATGGAGGAAGGCAGGTTACCAAGATCAGGATGGGTACGAGAACTTCAAAGAGCTGTTGGAGAACCCTGTTACAGATGCTCAGGTGCGACGATTCAGCTATGTGCTTTCAACTCACTTTGACGGCCGTACACACAGGACTTACTGGTCGACCGCTTCCCTATACCACGTTACATCGTCTGCGACCAGGGTGGCAGTCAAGCTCGATTCCTGCTATCGAAGCTCAATCCGTCGACGACACACATGTCGACATCGATGTATGGCACTGCACAAGCCGCGGGCGCTGGCCAGGCGATCTTCACCGACGATGTCAGCTTGCAGGTTTTCATGGAGCACCTGAAACGCCTGGTAAGGGTTTCTCTGTTACTGGTACTCCGATATACGCTTACGAGGGCCTTTTTTACTAGGCTGTGGGTGCACAGACAAACTAGATTGTTGTTTGTCGACGGTTAGATGTCGTTTTGTGCACTGGACGCTGTTTATTTTTCCGCGTCCGAGCTAGCTTTTCGATTATAGTAATGTTGGTAGTCTATCGTAAAATGTCCATTTTTCTGGTTTCGTTGTCTCGATGCTTTGTAATTCGGATGTGCATACTGTTTGAGGTCCGCAATCTTGTCTAATCGGGGACAAACTCTCTGTGGTTCATGCATCATGGATCAGATTGATCAGACTTTCATCTTGCGTACGAAATGACCTGTGTCTACATACTTTCAGCTGTGTATCCCTTCCTTTGTCTGTTCAGTGCCGTGTAAGTCTCTAGACTTTGAAGTTTTGGTATAAAAATAGCGTGATCAATGGAGACGCGTCAAGCACGTGCCACAGCACTCTCTAATCTTCTCTAACGGTGTTAGCCTCGCGATGCCCGGACATACGCCGCATAGAACACCTCTTAAACGTGTCTCCCAAGGATCTCTCTTCGCTCTCTCGCGATCAGGCAACAACCCTGATGCACCTCATGGCCTTGGCTTCATCGAGCCTGTAATGGCAGAGCTAGTTGACGAAGTTGAGGCGCTGCAGGCGAATGTAGAGGGCCTCAGGAACCTCAGCAACTCTCTGAGGACATTCAATGAGAGCTTCGCAAGCTGGCTATATGTCATGGACATGAACGCCCTTACGGTGGACTGGCCGCAGGTGAGCCCTGGTACTTCACGATGATCGAGTATGTCGACTGATCTCTTGTTAATCTCCCAGGCTCCAACGGACGCGTCGTTCCGGCTGGCTAAGCGACGAGCAGGTGCGTTGTGTAATACATTTACCATGCGTTTGAGATGATATATCTATTAGAGGAAAACGCCCGTTTGGCTGAAGAAGCTGCTCTGAAAGCAGCATCAGCTGTTCCGCCGCCGCCAGACTCAGAGGCAGACAAGACGACATTCAGCGAACACCAAGAGTTTGAAACGACATACACAACAAATGCTACGACAAGGAATACTTCTACTAGCATTGCGAAGAGCACATCGACAGGCATTCCCAGGAAGAAGGCTAAACCAAAGCTCACTGCGAAGGAGAAAAAGGAACGATCGGTGAGCACTGATACATGGGTCATTCTCTTCTCGATTTTTGATCGTCTTTGCAGCTTTCACTTGAGAAGATAGTAATGTCTCTTCCCCTCGAGTTTCGGGGGTAGTGATCCGGCACGTATACTCAATGATGGTACGAGACTGTTTATTGAAGGATAGACGTTCTAGGGTCTTCGACGTAACATGGAATCTGTAATAGAATTCATGATGGACAGCGATGGACGAGGCATCAAACGTGGGTAATCCCTCCTTGTTGCAGTATACATTGGCTCACTGTTCCTTGCACGCAGTCATCGAGCTCATCAAACCTCCCGATCTCAATCAGGCACGTGTCAACAAATGTTTGATTGCTTTAGTGAACCGGAAGATTGTCCAAAAGGAAAACAGTACTGTATGGCACAACCACTCGAGCAACAACGCATTCTCCTAATCTTCGAACAGGGCACAGTACTTTACCATTGGACCGGGTTATCGTGAGATCCAGTGTAGTGATGTGTGGATGCTCTCCAACATCCTTGGTTCTTGCGCCCTTTCGGATTTGTGCAGTGACTGCGCACGATTTATTTGATCTCATCAATGCGAGGTGATGCGAGGAGCATTTTGGACACCAATGATGGTACCGCTAAGAGATTCAAACTCCGTGTTGCGACCGCACATACATCTGAGGTGGTTTAAACCGTATCATTAATACCTTGACCAGATCGAGTCGTGAGGCCTTGAGGGTTGGGCTGCTATGCATTCATTGGAAATTCATTAAACAAGGTTTGAACGAAATGCTTAAACAAGTTGATCCCGACAACGTTTGCGTGTCGGCAACACGGCCGTGGTATGGATCATAGACTCTCCATTATTTATCTCCAACATACTCATCTTTTTCACGGACGTATCTCTAGATGCGAACCCCTCAGGGTCTTGTCTCATCATCTCAGCCCTGATGTAATCCCTACATCATTTTCATGAGAACGGTATTAAAGGAGTAATTTGGACTTCATGTACCTTGTCAGATGAATACCGGTGTCACGAGCAATCAGCTGTTTGATCATCCGAGGGCCGAGCTTCTTCTCCGGATCTTTCGACATCTGGGTGAGCACGAGCTGTCGTTTGACCGTCTCTGGCAGCTGTCGGGTGGTCACACCACTTGCATAGAGGCCCAGAGCTCTTCGTCTACGAGCTACCGAGCTTTCACTGAAGTACATCATTACATATCAAGGTAAAAAAGAGCGCACAACACACGTACCTCAACTTAATCCCATACTCGTCATACAGGAGTTGACTTATCTTCTTCTTATCAAATATCTCTCTCCGTTGATAGTCATACAGAAGCTCCGTAACCTGATTGTCATCCTTCGGGGCTGCAGACCATAAAGACAATATAAGGAGCAGAAAGGGCGGATACGTACGACAGTCCTTGTATTGGTTCCTCCCAGTTGGGTTTCGATTATGTGGCTTTGTCGAAGTTGTTGCGGAAGGACCTGACATGAGTTGAGAGCAAAACGTTTCAGGAGTCAATGAGGAATTAAGATGCTCGCGCTCGAAAGCAAGCGACACCTTCTACATGTGCGATGACTATGCAACGAGTTGACCAGGGCTCAGGGCTCAGCCCGAATTTGGGTTCAGGTGATTGTTTGGCAACGGCTTCTGATCCAAACAACTGTTGATTCAACCTCCCTGGGCGATATGTATTATGACACCTGGCAACTCTCGATCACGCTGAATACAGCATATGCACTACAGATTTTCTCTGATTCCACATTCCGTTAATATTCATCAGGTGTCGTGTATCTTTATCGTGTGTTCTTGCAACTGTCTAATAGTAAGCTAGATCTTCCGAGTCAATGAACGAACTTCAGGACACACCTACCGCAGGCCCACAATATTTCTACCGAGTGTTTGATGAGAAATCTTTTTCTCAGTTCCACGAAACTTCGGGGTTTGTGGCAGGTATACCTAATGCTATCTACGACCCCAAGCATTGGAAGGCCCGGCATGAGTTAGAACGACACATGGATTGGACCAATAAACATCCGACCCCCTTTATATCTGTGACGGCTTCCCGCGAAAAGGCCCTCGAATTTGCTTTGCAGAGGGTGAAAAGCAGAGGCGCACTGTCACAATTGCGAAGATCGACAGTTCGCGACTCGAAACAGCAATCCACCAGATGTGCGTTCTTGTTAAACAAACAGGCGCAGATATAAAACAAGAAGTAATAAACAAGCACGAATATCTATGTGTTCGCTACATTCCAGCTAACGCCGTCATTCAGCGTCTTACGCTCGGCGATGATTGGTGTAGCTGAGTCCGATACTATAGTTCGATTTTAGATCATGTTCATTGTGTTCCAGCTCTCAAGCTTCTACAACGCGTACCTGACGGTGGCACAATCCCGTTACGTAGAATGTGTCCTAAGCTTGTTTCTGTATTTCTGTGCAGATTTCACATTACTTATGACCTTGACAGTATCGTAACCCATCGGCAAACCAAGATACTTACCTCTGTAATTGCAAGTTTGTGACCGGTGACTAGTGAGGGCCAGCACTTAAATCGATGCATTAATGCAGTCTAGCTCATCGCGATGATGGGCGCTCCTAAACCCATGTTCATTTGAGATTGCAATGCTGCAGTATACCGTCCGCTGTCGACGGTCTCGCAAGTCTATACTTTTGTGACCGACAGGGAGGCATCGGTCAATGTTCAGTTCGTGCTAGTAATACCTAGAAAACCGGTTTCATCATCTATTATGCAGACAAAGAGCGCCTGTAAGCCGCTCCTGCTGTTTCGTCAGCCGAGACCCAATATCATCTCTGTATGCAGAGAAACGGCTTGGAAATCTTGTTACCAATGAAACTGATGCTCACGCGAGTGCGTAGCCGATCCAGTACGAAATCCGAGTTGCGCATTTTATACTAACATCGGTCTTTAGGGCTACATCCTGTAGGCTTGTCATTACTCACGCAGGCTGCGTTCCTCTCTCACCACAAGTTCCACCAACACCCCAGGGATATTCGCACAAAACCATCATCCATGCGAACTCAACCGAGATTACTGCGACTCTCAATTATCGAACAACTCCGTCACTCAAGCCACGTCTAGGGAGAGACCATCCCATATGCGGCTGTCCGAAGGCGCTAGATTTCAGCTGTTTTGATAAAGATTTCTCCCTGGACTGGTATAGTATTGACGTGACGGGGAGTGGTGCCCTGCTACACGATGGAAACTGCGCTATCTTTCAACTGTGTTATGCATCCACAACGCGGCGCGAAGGTATTTGGCCGTCGGTCAGTATTCAAAGTGTATCGACTGACTGATTCAGAACATCACATCAAGGCAATTGTTCCATCAGCCATTTCATGAGCGCTGCAGTATGCAACGCAAAACACTCAAACTCCCTGAGTCATGCTGGCAGAAAAAAGTCAGCAAAACAACATCAAAAACGTAAACAGAATGATGGCCATCATCCGATATAAAGCACCAATATAGCATCTCTTAGTGAGTATTATAAATCACGCATGGCATTCACGCGGAAAATGTCTGCAACGAACATTGTGTTTTGCACCATGGATTCTCCAACATTAAGGATACCTGGTTCTAAGTGTGCGCAAAGGGTCTGCAAGGAAGTGTCAGATGAGCTGTCAGCTCACTGAAAAAGGGTATAATTGAACGCGCCTAATATCCTGAAGCAAGTCAAACTGCCTTCTAGTGATGTGCTTCCTTTGCAATCTGAGCACCGTATGGGTTTTTAGGATCCTTGGCGTACGTCTCCGCTATAACACCCATTCATGCAAGGTCAAAGTGAAGAAAGCACATAACGTACAACGAACACCCATCTCCTGCATCTTCGAGACAAGGTAAAAGGTGACTGCGCTTGCCGCTAGGAAGGGCGCCATGGGCCTCAACACCTGTTAACACGACTGGTTAGCTGAAGATCACTTGTAGTACGAGAAATGGAACATGCAGGAGTGGACCACTTGCGAAGACCGAGAAATGCCATGAGTATGATCTAGTACAAGGTTATTTGAAGTAGAACGCAAATTAGTCGAAACTCACTGGTTATAAGGCTGGAGTGAACTGGAAGAACGGAGCGAACGACGTGCTGAACAGGACGAAACCGGGAACAGACATACAACGCGCATTCGGAAGGTGCTTCTCACGCCTTTATACAGCCCCACCAAATATCGCACTGTCAATACAAGTGGACACGTCCAAAGTAAACGCTCAAGCTCACTGTCAGTCGCGTCGTTTAGGTCATCATGGCAGCAGAGGCACCATGCTACACAGTCGTATTTGAAGATACTACAGAGAGCCCATCCACGCAGGAGCTTAGGGCTTCTCTCGAGAAAGGGACTGACGAAGACAGACTGGATACGTTGCGCAGGATCATTGTGTCGACGATTAATGGGAACCCTCAGGTATACTCCTTGATCTTTGCTATAGACCGCATGATGCTGATGCAATGATGGTGGCCTAGCCCACACTCTTGATGCCAATCATACAATATATTATGCCCTCCAGAAACAAGCAACTCAAAAAACTGCTTCACTTCTACTGGGAGGTGTGTCCCAAGTATGACGAGAACGGGAAGCTTAAGCAGGAGATGATTCTCGTTGTGTACGTGTATCTATTAATCTTATCGCACATATACTCACCTAGTCTAGCAATGCCATCCGAAACGACCTGGTAAGACTAATTTCCGCACTCTTGACGTTCTATTATTCACATCCCTACAGCAACATCCCAACGAATATATCCGTGGCGCTACCCTACGTTTCCTTCAAAAGATATCCAAAGATGCCGAACTCCTTGAACCTCTCATCCCCACCTGCCGCAGCTGTCTCGAGCACCGTCATTCCTACGTCCGCAAGAACGCCGTATTTGCCGTGTACACCATCTACCGCGAATACGAACACCTCATCCCAGATGCTCCCGAGCTCATGCAGACTTTCATTGCCGCAGAGTCTGACGCGACGTGCAAGCGTAACGCATTCGTGTTCCTCGCGCATTGCGCGATGCCTAAAGCTGTGGAGTGGTTGATTAGCGTGTATGATCAGCTGACAAGTCTAGATGAGCTCTTGCAAATGAGCATCATAGAAGTCATCAGGTTGGATTGTAAGAACGACACGACGCATCGAGTAAGTCTTCTTCACTCAGGCTATCTTGTTTATCCTCATTTTTGTCGTCTTGCAGCCGCGATATATCAGGTGCATGTTTGAATTATTGAATTCATCATCACATGCAGTAAAATATGAAGCTGCTACGACCCTCACCACACTCACGCAGAATCCTGCTGCTGTAAAAGGTATGTTTACGATCAGGTCTTGTGCGCATGTCTGCTCACTTTTATGATTAGCGGCCGCCTCGTGCTTTGTTAATCTGGTCATTAAAGAATCCGACAACAACGTTAAGCTGATCGTCCTGGATCGCCTGGATACCCTACGCTCCAAGCATGGTCATATTCTGGATGGACTGACAATGGACATCTTGCAGGTCTTGTCGAGGTACGGACAGTGACCGATCAATATCCAAAAATGTTACTGAATCCTGTCGTATCAGCGCCGACATGGAGGTCCGGAGGAAAGCCATGAGCATCGTACTCAGCATGACCTCGAATCGGAACGTCGAGGAAGTTGTTCTCTTCCTCAAGAAGCAGCTACAGCAGACACAGGAGCGCGAGTTCGAGAAGGTCAATCTCGCAGTCCTTCACGATATCGTGAACTAATATTAGGATAGGCCCCGGAGTACAGGCAACTTCTAATCCAATCGATCCACGTGTTAGCAGTCAAGTTTTCTGAGGTGGCTGCAAGTGTTGTCCATGCACTCATGGAATTCCTTGGGGATTCGAATAACCCTTCTGCGCTGGACGTCGTGGCCTTCGTTCGGTTTGTTTTCCCCTTTTAGTCCCCACGCTTTATTTCACTAACGCACCCACAGCGAAGTAGTGGAGAAGTTCCCGCACCTCCGGCAGTCTATATGTGAGAAACTCACTCAAACTCTGACAGAGATAAAATCTGGTAAAGCCTTCCGGGGCGTCCTCTGGATCCTGGGCGAGTACGTCGAAGGCCTGTCAGACATCCAGGCCACATTCCAGGACATCCGCAAAGTGCTTGGCGAGATCCCTATCCTTGCGAGCGAGCAGCGGTTACTGGACGAGGCTGGCGGAGAGGAGGACAAGAAGGAGGACAAGAAAGTCGAAGGAAGCGGGCGGCCAAAGGTACTTGCTGACGGGACATATGCGACGGAGACGGCGTACACCAGCGCCACCTCAACGAGATTAGAGGCTGTCAAGGCTGCGTCCAAGCCGCCATTGAGAGGTGCGTGTCGTGTCCGTTGATTTCGTTCGGAACTTTTAATGATGTAATGTCAGCCCTCATATTGGGAGGCGACTTTTTCACGGGTTCGGTACTCGCCTCGGCGCTGACGAAGCTCGTGTTGCGGTTCGATGACCTTACAAACGACCGGCCAAAGGCCAACGCTCTTCGTGCTGAGGTATGTACTACAGTTAATGTTTTTATAGCATTCACCGACGCCCACCCAGTCCATGTTGATCATGACGTCTATTATCCGCGTCGGTCAGTCGAAGTTTGTCACGGTACCGATCGACGAGGATTCCAACGAGCGCATTCTTAGTTGCATACAAACCCTAAGCGAGCTCCAGGAAAACTCCATTGTCCACGATATCTTCTTGAAGGACACGAAAGCGGCATACTCCAAGATGCTCGTCGCTCAGGAGGTGCGTGCCTAGTCTACTTCAAGCTGTGATGTTGCTGATGATCGGACAGAAAACGGCAGCGGAGAAGAAAGAGTCGGAAAGCACGAAGGAACATGTCGTGCAAGTCGATGATTTGCTTACTTTCAGGCAGTTCTCGAAAAAATCGGCTGATGATCCCATAGATGTAGGCTTTTGTCATCGGTTGATTATACGCCACTCATTTTTTATCAGTACGTGGAAGACTTAGGCAAGGCAACGGGGGCTGCTGAAGTCCGGGAAGACTTCATATCCAACCTCAGTCGCATATCCCAGCTCACAGGTATGTCTTGTAGTGCCGCCGTCATCTGTTTCAATGCTCATCATTTCTAGGTTTTTCGGATCCTATATATGCGGAAGCATACGTCAAGATGCACGGATTCGATATCATGCTTGGTGTGTATAATTCCCTTGATGGGTTATTTTATCGGCGAAACTCATTAACGATACTCAGATGTGCTTTTGGTCAACCAGACGTCTAATACGCTGCAGAATCTTTGTCTTGACTTCGCAACGCTTGGTGACCTCAAACTGGTCGAACGACCTGCTGTATATACCATAGCGCCTCATGGTTTCCAGAGTATCAAGGCAACAATCAAGGTAACAATCAAAGACGCTCCGCCGCTCACATCTGTTAATTGTAGATCGTAGGTTTCGTCAACAGAGACTGGCGTCATATTTGGCAGCATCCTATGGGACGGCCCTGCCCTCGCTGAATGCTGTGTTATCTTGAACGACATCCACATCGACATCATGGACTATATCAAACCCGCGTACTGTAGCGAGACACAGGTACGTCTTTAATATCTGTTGCTGCTGTCCAAATACTCACTCACTACCCTCAAGTTCCGAAGCATGTGGACAGAGTTTGAGTGGGAGAACAGGGTTAACGTGTCGACGAACATGACGTATGTCTTCCAGGGTTCTCTTGTCCAGTCCGTAGCTAACGTACTCTCGTAGTGACCCTCGCGACTACCTGAAGCATGTCATGAAGTCTACCAACATGTCTTGTCTCACGCCAGAGGGAGCCATGTCGGGCGATTGTGATTTCCTATCTGCCAACATGTATGCTCGAAGTTTATTCGGTACGGGTCTTTCCATAAGTTTTGTGTCAGCACTAGTCTTATTTTGTGATGACACAGGCGAGGATGCTTTAGCCAATCTTAGCATCGAGAAGACGGAGGCTGGGATTGTAGGCCACGTTCGTATTCGGAGCAAAACGCAGGGCATTGCTTTATCGCTAGGCGACCGTATCACAATGTGTGAGTTTATAATTTGTTTGGAGACGTCATGATGGTTGATGGTTGTGTATAGCTCAAAAGGATAGCAAGCCATCGATATAGAGCGTGTAGACATCAATCGGGGTGCTGAACTGTACACATAGGCTTCATGTATCATGTTGTACTTGGGAAGGAGACACGTGAATGTTTGATGCAACGCTAATAGGTAGTGATCGATCTTTACATCAACAGATGCTCAAGCCTGCAATAACGGTTCCCTACATCGCCAAACCTCTCAGCAACCTCGACAACGTGAAATCATTTGAAGCGCTTAGATACCCTTCTTTACCTTCATCTCCATTCACATGTACCTTGGCATCTATCTTGAAAGTCCTGGTCTCCGCTCGCTGAAAGAGTGCGAACGGGATTGGAATCCAGAAGCGCATGCACCACCCGACATTATCATCACCGTCCTTGCTATAACACCATGGGACTTCCTTAATATGAATTCCTCGAGACAAATCGGGTGTGGGCGTATCATTTACGTAGCGTATCGTAGCGCCATCGTAAAACGTCCTGAACGAGATTTGGCTATGGGACTTGTAGGGACCATTTATTGCCACTGTACTGCAAACAAGATGAACGAGAGTGACGGCCGGAACAAGCTGTGGGTCGAAATCATGTGCGGAGGTACATGCAATCAGGAGTCGCGCTGGGAAGAGGTAGAACGCGCTACACACTGAGCACGGGTACAACCAACATCCAGAGTAAACTCACTGGTCGGGCTCATCCCATGTCGTGACATGGCGCTCGTTGCAGCCGACTTTCATGGAAAGATTTTCCAATGGTAAGGAATACTTTTTAGATGTATTGTTGACCGCAGTCTGTAGATCAGGCTTTAGGTTTCCAAGACTATCGGAATCGCGGATGGATAATGCGAAAAGTAATGTTTGAACTATGGCTGTTTCCGCAGCGTCCTCCACCCTGGAAGACACTAAACGTTGCAGTTTACGAACAGATGATTTCCTTGAAGGTGTCTTGGTTGGAGATGCCGTGGGGTTGTCGGCTGCAAGCTGAGAAGGAATGATCTTGCGAGGAACACGACACACTGTCTCGGACTCGGATGTGTCTAAAAGTCGACCAACGGATCGGAGAGCATAGAGTGTGTCATCAATCGACGAGGATGGCGACTTCCTGTTGCGAGTAGGTGGGCCCTCCAAACCGTCGCCTAATGCAAAAAGACTTGCTAGATCTGAACTTGTTGGAATGCTGGCAGAAATCTTCTTTCCCCAACCGTCTGAGAGCGCGCTTCATGCACTGGCACGGACCACTGCCAGTCACTGTAGAGTAATTAGCAGCTGTGTCAACAGAGTTAGTTGAAGCTGACACCTCCAGCGCAAGATCTGAATCGAGGATCAGTAGCAGGGCACATTCAGCGCACTACAGTCGTAAGTCAGGGTGAGATAACCCACAAGGACATGCATTGAGCTCATGCTTATATGAGGATTTTCGTTGTGTAAAATCGCTTGGGCTTGACTAGTAGTGACATGAGGCTAACACGTGAAGTTGCACGCTGTGGGGCCTGGGCAAGCCGCGATGCCAGTAATTGGACGTAATTCACCCCATATATCCTACCATACTGTCGACATTCTTCACCAAGAACTTAAGCATGCTCGCATGATACGTTAGGGCCACGGAGGGGCTGTGGTGACGGAGAGGTTTGAGCATACAGAACAACCCAGGCTACTTGCAGACTTTGTTTTGGCGGTTCAGCCTGGCCATTTCAGAGGATGATAGGAAGGAGTCGCTGCCAACGCCAACTGTTGTCAACCAGTTCAAGTTCAAGTTCAAGTTGCTCTCGCAAATCATGATCGCGCTTGATTCAGGCAATTTTCTTCCTATCTTGAGATGTCGTCCGGATCACATTATGTGTTTTCTCCGTCGACTCGATTGGATGACTCGCGCGTATGTACGTTCTGTCTGTACTAGTGTCCTGTAAATCTGGTCTGAGGCCAGATTAACAGGGCTAATTAGCAAAGGCTGTCTGGGAGGTCAAATTAACCTATGTAAATTAGCGTAAATTTGCAAGTCTGCTAATTAGCGCTAATTTACTTGTAGATTTGATGAGTTTAACGGTTAATTAGGGTAAATGTGGTTCTACGGCCATACATCCCAGGCTTTTACATCAGGAATTGCCTCTAACGACGACGACGACGACGCGACAATGGACGATGTTGTTAACACCTTGGCGTGGGGATTCATGTTTCGGGGTGTTTCGTCCAGGAAGTCGCGGAGATAGGGAGAGCGCAACTCGATATGTACATTTGCCCCTGCAAGCAAGAAATATGAGCTGTCAACTTTTTCAAACTCGCTCGCCAGTCCTCGCTCGTCGTTCAGCCATTCAGCACCATCATCGGGAAATTTGGGATCATCAGCGTCGTTGGGCGGATTGGAGTTGAAGGGTCTTGGTTGAGGTGGACGGAGTCCAGGGAGTGGAAGGTCTTCAGACATATCCATGTCTGAAGCTGTACGCTTGTGGAAAATAGTTTCGTCCATGTCTCGCCATCGAGCAAGCAATTTTTTGGTGGGATTTGCATTCTGCATAGTACGAGTGTGATTCACTGATTTGAGGTTGAGGTGCTAGCCAGAAACACATACCTCAGGTTTGTAACGATGCCATTGTCGAATTTTGATGTGATCTTGAAGTGTCCCAAGGTTTTGATTAGCGCGACGAGGAGAGTTCAACCATGTGATGGTGGACATAGTGCGTTCGTCTGCCATAGAAATAGGAACCGCAGAGAACATTTTGATTGCAATAATCTACACCATAACGGGTATAGTCAGTGATAAAGGAACAATGGGAGCATACTCACCGGAAGTACATCAGCAAGTTCATCTCCTGATTTCAGGAGTGCTCGCCAGTAATCCCGCGGGCTCTCATTTGAGCGCATCTTGCGGTTGAACGGATCTTCAGCACGGAAATAGGCTTTCAGCTGACTCTGAAGACGAGTGAGCGCTTCTGCAGGAGTCAAGTGCGCAAGTGCAGGGTTATGAGACTCCTCAGGGTCTAGTCGAGCTCGATGATGACTAGGACTGGAGGATAATGCAGATATACTTCCCCACTTTGTGACGTGGCTGAGCAAAATGCAGGTTCTCTTCCGTCCAGCTTTATCTCTACTATTCTTCCTCGCGATCCATTGGATAAATTCGCCGACGTTGCTAAATTCCGAGTCACCATGACGCGCATTCCCATTGCCAATCGTAGAACTGTGGGTGTTTGCTTTGTGTGCTTCACCGACAATTTCGCAATATGAAGTCGTCGTACCATGCTGAGTCCATGACTTTGTGTAGAATTTTCCGCGCGACAAATGTTACATAGAGTGTTCTTCGTCGATAGAAATGTTTGACAACTGCACGGTTATTACATTACGTTTGCACGCTGTTTCGTGGAGTGATAAGAATGGCGTCGTTCCACATCGGAACAGCAAAATTCGGAATATCACATTCGTCATTGGAGAGGACTAGACGGTGTATGATTGCCAAATCGGCACTCCATCCCAATCCGTCTTAACCACCCCTCAGACAATGTATCCTTCGCCTGCGACGACCAAACTTCCGCGCTGCACAACATCTCCTTCAAAGTCCCCCGCGGAGGGCGTACAGCCCTCGTAAGTAAGAGCGGAGCAGGCAAAAGCACAATCCTGCGCCTCCTCTACCGGTTCCACGACCTCCTCCAACTAGTGATGTGCACAATCCGGCTTCATACGGTACACATAGCCCCACGGACTTGCTGCTGCGGTATTAGGACCTGTTTCAGTGTTTGATCGCTATACGTACCATGTACTATGCGTTAGCTTTATCAGATACCACGCTACCGGGATGGCTTTGTGACAGAAAAAATTTCATGTTTCGAAGTGCAGCACTTAGGTGAGTTTGGTTGGCTTCAAGGATGTCGAGACCTTTCCATTTGCATACGCAGGATTCTCGCGGCAACAATTGTTACATGCCAAAAAGCTTTTACTGAGACCTGTATAAATAGTCTGCAGATCTATACATAAAATATTTGAATTCTTTGATACCGCTCTCCCAGCTGGCCGGGGACCAAGCTGTTTGCCTTGTTGGCGTATGCCCATAATACATCCCTGAAAGATGCATATCAAATGCAATTGATACCCAAGTCTTCAGCAATGATCATCGCAACCCGCTCTCCAATGAGAAGCGTCGTCGAATACGTTTTCTGTGGATATCGTTAGACCGCACATCAAAAATCCCTTGCTCAGCACCCACCGTGCTGACGTTCCACGGCAAGATGAACATATCTGCGACCTTCAGGTTTGACACGCCGTATACATTTAGTCGAGCGTCGACGACTCCTTGATCTACCTCGATTTCATGGCACAAGTTCCAAGCTACACATACAAAAATCAGATATAAAATTATGAAAGGTGCAGCTAAAACACACCGAGTGCCGTATCGTTTGCACTGAAATTCGTTTCAGTATTTAACCGTGACTATGGGGATGGCAAGTCAGGATTTACTGATGTTGCGGTGGAATTGATTGATCGCCTTGTCATCTTCTGCAGTGTAGATGATGTCAGGCGCATTCAAGTCCACTGGTCCGGACGCTTCTCTGCAGACAGCAGCGCTTCCCTCTGGGAAATCAGGATGGCCAGCAGTGACTTCACCTCGGTAGCAAGACATGCGTCGAAAAATTTCGCACGTCTTTTCGTACCCAAAGTCAAGAGGTACAATATCGGATGGACTATGCGGATTATCGTAGTCACGCAAGTTGCCCCAAATAAAATGCGTCGATTGCATATATGAGTTGTCGTCTTTATGTAATATATCTCACCTGTCTACAGGCCTCTAGTCATTGGGGACGTCTACACTCCTGTAAACGCTGGCAAAGAAAGATAGAATTGCAGGGATTACGTCGAACACCGGCGACATTGCAGGTAACGTTCTGGTTGTGAAACATGCGCAGGGGAAGAGGCACGAGATCATGGACTGCGACGAGGTGGACATACCATGGGTCAATGGTATCATGAAACAGTGAGTACAACGCCATGTAGGGAACCGTGCACTGACAATTGCCAGGTCCTTGAAGCGTGGGAGATTCTGGAATTGAACGGGTCTGAGGCAGAACGGGCTTCGAATGTGGTTTCGCTTGTAAAGAATGTGGTGCTTTTCAATGGGTCGAAACTGAATGGGATAGACTATGGAATAGTGTTGTACATTGTTTCGATATACTAGCTATAGGTGATTCGTGAGGAAACTTTGTGTAGCAAGCGGCTAGCCAAATTTATCATGGAGGGACTTGCTGCGTCAGCGGCGATACGGATTATGTAACCGTTATCTGGATATCACCGCTGCTGCAGTTTCTTAAAACCAACTTAAGTGGGATACACCTTGTTGAACACACTCAAATTCTCTTCATTCATTTTGCTCGGCAGCATCTCAAATTGATTTCACTTGTTGCACTACATGCAATATAGTACCCGTGTGCTCTCCTGCGGATGATGGTGTAAAGTAAGTATTATGCCTCCAGATCCACAAAGCGTCCTGACGTCCACTTCATTGCATAGATCGACCATGCCTGCATGATGAATGCTGGTGCAAGCCACGACGGTTATGAAATCAGGTAAGTGTTATTTGCTTCTCGTCATCTACATTCTAAGCTTGTCACTATGATATTATATGCTCTTTGCAGCTGGATCCAAGGCAACCCAGCGGGACACTCCTGCTCGCACATGCGAGGACGCATCGATGATCTCACTGAGCTGAGGTTCTGGCCCTCTCATTAACTCTCAACCTTCTTGATCTGGGGCTCCAGCATCTTGATGTTGATGTTGGCGGCGAGATTGACGTCGTAGTCAGAGCGTGTGGAGTGTCGGTTTCCTAACCCATCCACACGTGTTGATGATTCATCTTCATTGATACTATCTATATGTTTCCCGAGACCGCACCCCTGCAGTCGCCTCCGTCCCCGTCCCTGCTGCCCTGCCAAGCCTGTTGCCGTCCCTGTTCCCACGCCCCCATATCAGGAAGCGTCCCTGCTTCTCCGTTCTCAGGCAGGGACTCCTCCGTACCATATCAGGAAGGCGTCCCTGCTTCTCCGTTCCCAGGCAGGGACTCCTCCGTCCCATATCAGGAAAGCGTCCCTCCGTCCCTGTTCTCACGCAGGGACTCCTCCGTCCCATATCAGGAAAGCGTCCCTGCTTCTCCGTTCTCAGGCAGGGACTCCTCCGTCCCATATGAGGAAAGCGTCCCTGCTTCTCCGTACTCAGGCGGGGAAGCCCACAAACTCGTTCATCATATCTTCCCCCCCCCCCCCCCCCCCACCCTCCCTCATCGAGCCCACAAACTTGTCGGTCATATCTTCCCTACCCTACCATACCACAGCACCAAGCAAAACAAACTAGTTCTTCATATCTTCCCCTTCCACCTCGTTGAGCCCACGAACTCCTTCGTGATATCTTCCCCCCCGCCTCGTTGAGCCCACGAACTCCTTCGTGATATCTTCCCCCCCGCCTCATTGAACCTACGAACTCCTTCGTGATATCTTCCCCCCTGCCTCATTGAGCCCACGAACTCCTTCGTTATTATCTTCCCCCCTGCCTCATTGACCCCACAACCTCATTGGTCATGTCTTCCCCCCCCCCCCAAGCCAAACAAACTCGTTCGTCATATCTTTCCCCTCACGGCACCAAGCCAAACAAACTAGTTCGTCATATCCAAACTACCTCCCACCCCCTAAGCATCAGAGTCTCATATTTCACCCTTTTGGTCATCATTCGACGTTCTGATGGTCCCAACTAAGCATGCGCTGCAGAAAATGGCAGATTATGTCGATGATGGATGTGGCAAAAACCTCCAGATCCGTTGTGATTTTGTCAGGTCCGTTGCCGCTGCGAAATCAAACGATTGCATTTGCCAGTCGCAATATTCATTCCCATCTCATTTCACACAGATTCTCATGTGACTCGTTCGCTCTATCATCCTCGACCACCCAGCTCACCGACCACTGCTTGCGCTGCGAATCATTGGCCATGGCAACCAGCGGATCATATAGCAGTAGCACTACTGGTGAATCTCAGATGTAGTTACAAGCACTATAAGATGTCCGAGTAATGGTACAGGACAGCTCTCCTCCTCAAGATGTCCGCAAACCTTGCTAGACTCGATGCTGGCCTTGAAAGATGTAGACCAGTGCTTGCAATGCATCAATGCGTAGTGGGTCGGCTTGATTATGTTGAAGCAGGCGATGGCGCAGATACAAGACGGTGATGATGAAGGTAGGCAGGTAGATGACGGCAGGCAGCAATCTACCATGAATCTGAAGGCAGGGAAGGATGATCAACCGCCTGAGCATGCCAGAGTAAGACATCGAGAGTGCATACCTCATGCGGCGAAAAATGACTGAATGGAACCACACTGGAATGAAGGATCTAGTGTGTGAAAGCTTCAAAATTCTCAGCAACTTCGATGCGCACTTACCAGGTTACTTTGATGGGTGTCAGATGAAGGGGCAGACAAATGGCCCAAATATCCTGCCACAGGGAAAGACTTGATTCTAGTCTTCGTGAATCATCGATTAGCACTCGCCCATTTGAAAACACTGCTGCCTTCAGTAGGCAAATTGCGCCGTTGCAGGAAAGAATCAGCCACTTAATACAGAACCAAAACGAAGAAATGAATTGCTCTCACTTGTTGCTGAAGGTGCCTGTGCCATGGCTCGAGAGTCGAAGATCCGTAAGAAATTCTTCAGCAGGTGAGAACTCCTGCGAGCATCATCGCCTCACCATTGCGAGGGAAAACTTTGGGTACTCTGGGGCAGATGCTGATTTCGACATCCTCCGAGTTCAGGCTGATGCGCGTCCTAGCAGCCATGTATCATTATTAGTATAGCGGGGCAAATGCGCAAAATGGACGGACGCAGCCCGAGGTCGGAGTCGTATGCAGTCAGCGTTCATCGTTCTATCACAAGAAGGGTTGTGGTTGGGTCAAGCACATCGCACACAGCACTTTGGACTTGGACCAAAAGATCCTGAATTCAACAGTGGGTAGAGGATTTATTCGCAATGAGAGGATTAGTATGAAATCACGGCGCTGCTGCGACGTGAGTGTTAGGTGCGACGAGTGCGGTGCGAATGTCTGGATTCGTGCCAGCCAAGACGAGGGCAGGAAACAGCCAGTGAGATTTCAAATCATACAGTAACTAACAAGACGTTTTCCACACCCGAGGCCAGCAGTGTGAGACAATCCAAAGTATCTCTAATGGTAGAACCGACCCTGCAACACATCATCCCTAAAGTCAAGGTTGGCTCCGTCAGACACGCGATCCTCGCTCGACATGAGCAAAAACAGGACTCACCTCATGCACGCATCAAAGGAAAAAATTGGGGTTGACTCTCTCCATGTTGCCGCAAAACCAAAGGAACGCCTCCAAGCAGTTGTTATATTTCCCTTCTTCGGCATTCTTCTTCGACTGCCCAAGCTGCGAGCTCCTGTAGAGTCGAGAGCGTCGCTCCTCCGCCGATGTCCCGTATCAGCAGCTCCCTGAACTTCTCTTGTTTCCACATGGCGTAGACCGCCTTGATACCGAAGCCGGCGAAAGGGCACGTCGCGCCTTTCTTGTACACGAAACTGGCATGGCACGCCGGGCTGCTCGTTGTTGAAGTT